GAGTTTAATTCTCTTAAATAAGATTTTGAATTTGAATTTTATAAATGAAGAAATAAGTATTAAAAGAGTTTTCCCTTTATGAGGTTTAATATGGTTCAATTTTAAATTAGTCAAGATTCAATGTGATTATCGAATGCCGTGAGATTAATATAGAAAAAAAAAAAAATCTTGTTTTACTGTCGGAACTGCAAAACAAAATTATCTAGAATTGTTCTAGGCCCACGAATCTTCCTGATTGAGCTTAGATTCGATTTGCGGACCAAGTACTATTTGGGCTATGGACTACAAAATTTTCTGGAAGCCCACTTCGGCCAGAATCAAATAGCAGCCCATATTCTCTTTTTTTTTTTTTACTTAAAATTTAAATAAATTATTTAAGCTCTGTGTATATGTAATAGATTAAATTTGGAGTTAAAATTATAATAAGGTGAGGAACTCAGGGACTAAACCTTATAATTAAAGCTCAAGGACTAACTGGCAATATTTTCTTTTTGTAAAGAACCCCCAAGTCAAATGGGTCGGCAGTCGGCAATTTCATTTTTGCTTTCTTTCTTTTCGGGAAACAAGATCGACTTCCTTCTCTGGCCAGCTAGGGGGGCTCCAGGGATCTGCCATATTAGAGTAATCCAAGTAAATTGTCTTCTTAATTTTGGAATATTTAGGAATTTGGAAACGATTGGAATGGGTAGATGCATGGATTTTAGAATTATTTAAGTAGGTGTCAAATAAGTACAAATAAACTTTTTGAATTATGTTTATTTTGATATTTATTTAGATTCCGAGTAATTGTATGAAATTGCATTTTAAGAAATACTTATTGAGGTAAGTAGTTATACCCTCCAGTGTTTTTAAAATAAATAGATATATTTAAATGAGTTTTGTCCATATTTGATTTATTTATCTATTTGATTATTTATTTATCTATTTCTTAGAGAATGATTTTTACTAAATATTTTTAATGATGGAATGAGATGATTTGTGGATCAAGTATAATATTTTTATTTAAATTTGAGATGAGATTGTGACCATGTGGAGGTGACTAATTTAAATATGTTTTCTCTAATATTATTGAAGTTGTTATTTTTAGAACAGTTTCTTTTATTTGTCCTGGCTGGATGATTCATCCTTGTGAGAGTTGAGTTGTTGGTATTGTGATAGACCTGTGATCTATGGATTGTGGATTGTGAATTGTGTATCGTGGATTGTGGATTGTGGATCGTGTATTGTGGATTGTGGATCGTGTATTGTGGATTGAAGATTGACTATCATTGATCGTGAATTGTGGATTGTTGCACAGCCATAAGGGACGAATAATGAAAGATTCTGGTTTCGAGGAAAGAATCATATTTCTTTTATTGTTTCATTTTCAATAAAAGTTCAGTTTTAAATTTTTATGCTTGGTTGTGATGGATGGGTATACTACTTACGGAGTTCTTAAACTCATGTTTTCAAATTTCATCTCATTTCAGGCGAGAAGGTATGGGCATTGGGATTTGCATGGGGATTGAGAGATCGATAGAATAAATTGGCAGAAATTTAGTAATAGCTTAATTGAAAGCTTATTTGGTTTTATAAAATAAGATGTTAATCACTTTATATTGTGGTTAAGAGAGTTGATTTTGTTATTTGGAGACTATTAAGAGTTGTTAATGAAATTGTTTATCTTAAAGTTGCAAGGCTACATTAGAACTTTACGAGAGATTGTATTGGCATGAAGGAAGATGGCCTTACACGTTTATGGGGTTAACCTATAAATGTGTGATGTTTGTTATGTGCAAACCTATGGGTTGCGGTGTGACAATGCTACCCTTAAAAAAAAAAAAATGTGATTCAAAATTGCAGAGATGGTTGCAATTTGCAAAGCCAAAGAGCGTGGCTTTAAAAAATTCAGTTTAATAAAACAAACCAATAACTTAAAATAGGCAAAATTGGATAGTGGATGAAGACAAGCATTATAGGTCTCTCCAAGAAGAACACAAATTCAATCCATTCTGCCGACACACGCCTACAGTATGCTTTGATTTTTGTTGGTATATTTGGTTCCGTTTTGAACCCCCAAGTCTTCAAACTATTATCCAGTGAAACACCCTCCTAAGCATTTCAACGAATGCTCCATATTTCAAGAATCCAAAACTCTTGTTGTACCATACAACGAAAAATAACTTGTTTCACTATTTATAAATATTATGAAATTTTCACAATAATATGTTGATTTTAATAAAAAGAATTGGGATTTTTCTTGAATAAAATTTCAACTTTTTGAATTTTATAAATGGAGGAATAGATATTAGAAAAGGGTTTTTTTTTTTTTTTTTTTTATAAAATTTAACCGATGTACTTTGACTCTTCTAGAGATTTGGTGAAAGAAAATTGGTAAAAGCCCTTCTTAAGCCCGTAAATTTATTTTAAAATAGCATTTAAACCTCTAAACTAATAATAAAGTAGATAAACCTTTCAACTTTCACTAATGATGCTGATAAATCCTTTTCATTCATGAATGTTCATGCTTTCAAGGTGATATTAAACATGAAATAACGTTTGACCATTTGTGAAAAGGGTTTATTTGCATCGTTAGAAAGTTGGAGGGTTTATCTGTTTCATTTTTAGTTTAAAGATTTAAATGTTATTTTAAGATAAATTTGAGGCTTTAAGAAGTATTTTTGCCAACAAAATCTTTTCAACAATGATGGCTTGGTTCGCGCTCACAAACGGTAGCATATGGACCCATGAACATTTTGTCACGCTTTTAAAACGTTGGCGTTTTCCCTACCTGTAGGCAAATTCACTCATGAAAATACGTTGTATATATATATATATAAATATTTTCGTATTCTTCGTGGGGACTGAAAAAGATATTTATGATTTCTCATTTCCTTTCCCTTTTTCCTTCTTCCATTTTTTCCATTGATTACAAGTATTGAAAATGGTAAACCAAATGATAGAAATAAACTCATTACTGAACAATTTTCAATCAGTGTCTGCCATGGGCCCATGGTATAACAGATCTGAGTTGCCAATCAGTTAGTGATGTTTTGTTAACCTTTGATCAGGAAAAATTTATGGGCCTTTTGAACATTCCAAATTCATGTTTCTCACGTTTGATGAGCCATTTAGCCTTGTCTTTTGCCCCATCCTACGCCTTATCCAGATTGCATTTTCACTTGGTAACTCCATCAGGAAGCTTCCGATCGGTAACATCACTAGGAAGATCCAGCCCGTACGGGATTTTTCCAGGGTAGTTAGTCTTTGCAGAATCTGATCGCATCATACTGCAGAACACGAGGAGAAAACCGAGCGTTAGAAAATGAAGGATGTCTAAATGTTATAAATGAGTTCCTGAAAAATCAAGCTCACCTTCTGTCAACAAAAACCATTGACCGAAGCTGGCAATTAGCGAAGCTGGCAATTAGCAAATCTGCGAAGAGAGTGCAAACTCTCCTGGTTAGTATGCAATAATTAACCGGATGTTGACTTGATAGAAACAATATGTGGCTATTTTTAATTGGATTGCTACCCATCGCATCCATCGCAGGATAGTTATTACCATGAATTTAATAGAACTTCGACGGAGAAATGAAATAGGGAAAAGGGATAATCAAGACATCTTGACATTAAAAATATCAAGATGTATAATAATAGTCACATGATAAATTTAATAAAGTTATGATCGATACTATACTTCACACATTTAATGATTGTAATTTTTGTGTTCTGTAAGAAGGATGACTGTAGTTTATTTTAGTTTGCATTATTGGAAACATAAAGAGAAACTCAAAAAGGTTTAGGCCATGTGTATGCTTAGATGTCTTGTCAATGGTATCTTTTCATCTTATGGATTGCTATTGACATTTATTCTAGATCATGGAAAATTCATGATTTATCTCTTGCCTCAGTTTCCATGCATGAGGTACCGTACTGATAGGGTTC